TTTATTAGCATAATAATTGACAAATATATTTATAAAATTAAAATATAAAAATAAAATGCTAATAAAGTGCTTATACTTGCAAAATTTTGTATTTTAATAGTACATTATCAGCACCTTTAAATTGCTTATTTTTAGCAAGTTCAATTTTGACTGATTTTTGTAAAAGATTAGTTGTTTTAAATTTTTCTAAATCGACTAGTTGGAAAGTTGTCAACTAGTTGATTTTCCATCACACCGAAAATCAGAAATCTACAGTGCGGGACAGCTAAAGATGTCCAATTTTTTAAAACAAGTTAAAATAAAATCCCACTTTCAAATTTATTGTTTTTTACGTTAATAGCAAATCTGAAAGAGAGATTTTAAAAATTTTAACTTTATAAAGTTATAACAATTTAAAATATTTAATTTTTAAAATTTGGCATGCACAGATAATTTTAAAATTTTTGATTGGTTAAATTTTATTTTTTGTTAAAGACTAAATAACGGCAGAATTAGGACATTAGTGTTTGATCCAAAAAAATCTCGCAACCCATTCAGCCCACTCCACGGCTGGAGACATAGCATTCTGTCATTTCTCACCACACCGGCTTGCTTCAGTAAGTGAGAAACCGCTAGTTATTCCTACTGCGACTTTCAGTGCAATCACTTTCGCGAGGCGCCATTGTCGTTCTGGCTAACTCTGTCAATTACTCATTTCTCAGTCATATAGTTCTTCAAATATCACCTTCGGTTAAATTTTCTGCCGACATAGTTCAAATAATTCAAATGTGTCGTGTAATGTGGTGCTTTTTGTACGTACGTACGTACGTACATACGTACCGTATCGGTATGAGATCTTCGGAGGCTAAGCCCAGTAAAGAAAAATCAAATTAAAATTACAGGTTTTATCTGTTGCATTCAAAATTTTAAAGACGGTAATTTACTAATCTAGACCGGACCGGACTAGTCTAAAACCAATCAGAGTTGGTCTTTTCCTAATAAAAAACCAGTTGAACCATCCCATAATTGGATATTAATACTGTATTCTTAATACATAATTCGACATTTAGATTAGAGTATTACGGGATTGCGAGTGAAGTCTTTTGCAACCACGTTGATTTTGTTGAATTAATTTTAGTGCCAACTATCGCTATATATGAAAATACGTAAATAGTTAGCTTATTTAAACAAGCATTACATTTTTCTAAAGATTTTTTCTGTAACACACCTATCAGCTACTAATATATCAGCTCTCTCGATCAATAGTAATTTAAGGTGCGTAGCGCAAAATAAGGAGTAACTTTAAGGATATTCGTAAACAACGTTCCAAGTACGTACTTTAATGGAAATTTAGTTAAATTATGACCTATTTTAGAAGACAGGATGTATATCGTTTCTTTAATCAATAACAAAGCACATCCAGTTTTCCTAAGATGGAAATGTACACAATACTATTTTATTCATATGATTTGATGTGGTACACATTGAGATGCACTTTATGGTCACTAGATCGGTTTAGCCTATTAAGCAACAATAAAAATGATCACATACGTAATATGAAACTTTGAAGCTATGGTACAGTAACTTGAACTTTAACGATAGAAATTATAGAAATCCGAGAACCAATCCGTTCTTATAAGTTATGCGTAAAAATGTTTTTGTGATTGTACACTAAAATAAAAATTGTCCAATTACTCTTGCAATAAAATTATTGTTTTTGGTTTAGATAATAATTATTACCAAATTTGTATTCAGGAATTTTCGTAAAACAATATTTTTGCATTAGCTTAAATTTTAATCTTTTGAAATTTGCAAATTCAATAGTACATCTATGGAGTTTGTTTACTATGACATTTTGTAACAAGGAAAAATAAAATCACATCGATTATAAGTTTAAAAAAGTCTTTGTGTGATTTTTTTGTTCTCAATGAAATTATGTGTTCTATAACAAGATCACAATGATCAAAGTTGACCTAATTAAAAGAAAAAAATTTAATAAATAATCAATTAACGATGTGATAATGCCTGCATAAAAGTCTCATTTTTTTTCAAGATTTAACTATATAATTCATATAGATGAATATTAATAAGCCAGCACTCATTGATTAATGATATTTAGAATAAAAAATGTCTCTTGAAGAAAAACGAGAAAAAATCAATAATGAAGTATACGACACAGAAATCGGAAATTATGATAAATCTTTGGAGCGAAAAATCGTTTGGAAATACGATATTTACTTACTACGTATGTTTCTAAACTTTAACACATTATAATTTAATATTATGTATTAAGCATCAGATAAACGTCTTATTATTAACTTCATCTTTTTTTTTTCTTTGAACTTGTTTAGCACTATTATCACTACTATTGCTGTTCTCCGTAATTGACCGTGCTAATATAGGAAATGCAGTCGTAGCAGGATTTGATGTTAAATATTTAAACACTAATCCTATTGACTTTAATTGGGCTGTGGCATCACTTCTGGTCTCATACTTAATTTTCGAAATCCCATCAAATCTAGTAAATAAAATCTTAGGGTTTCATGTTTGGATTCCGATCATTATGGTGTGTTGGGGTATTGCATCTATGTGTCAAGCGGCAGTTACAACCGTTCTTCAATTAGGAATTGTTAGATTTATTTTAGGTTAGTAACAAGAAATAATATAATTTGTTAAATGATATATATGAATGTTTATAATGTTAACAACTTATTTATTAATGTGCAGGAATGGCAGAAGCAGGGTTTCCGCCATCTGTATTGGGATATCTTAGTTTATATTATGCCCGAAAAGAAATGACTTTGAGATATTCTGTCTTTCTAATTTTCGTCAATATTGCTGGTGCTATTAGTGGTATCCTTGTAAGTTTCATAACTATTCATCTTTGATAAAATGATAATGCTACAGCATTACATACAGTATGTTAGATAATTTATCTACATTCATACAATTTATTAATAATAATAATTAAACTTGTTTCAGGCCTATTTTTTGGTTCAAATACAAGGACCATTAAGAGGATTCCAGTGGTTATTCATAATTGATGGTATTCCAACAATTATTCTTGCTATAGCTGTTGCCGTATTCTTAACTTCTGGCCCCAGTAATGCTCGCTTCCTTACACCTCAGGAACGTATTATTGCTGTTGATCGTTTAAAATCAGAAGGTGGTTCTGGAGAAGTCGATCGTAGCGCTGCCAGATCTCAAATTAAACGTGCATTAACAGATATCAGAGTTTATATTTACTTTGGAATATTAGGATTTGGTTCAATTCCATCCTTTGCTCTTAGTTTCTTTCTTCCAGTTCTAGTAAAACAACTTGGATATAGTGATGTGCAAGCTCAATTGATGACCGTACCACCGTTTATTTTTGCTACTATTTGTATGACCATAATTTCTTGGTTATCAGATAAATATAAATTTCGAGCTTGGGGCATAGTAGCTGGAGATATTATGTCCATTGTGGGATTTGCAGGAATTGTAGCCACGTCAGCATTAGATAAGAATTTGTATAATTTAAGATATTTTTTTACGACCTTATTGGCATGTGGAGTATGCACTGTGTTACCAGTAGCTTTTAGCTGGTTAACCTGTAATATTGGTTAGTATTTTTTTTTTTTTTTTGTATTCAAACTTTAAGAATAATAATGTATATTAACGCTAATAAAATGTTTAAATTTGTTAGTTGGTCAATATAAACGTAACATAGCGATCGGGATAGTTATGGCTTCTACTTATATCGGAGGAATCGTTGGAGTTTTAATTTTCCCACTTAATGAAGCTCCCTCATTTTATAAAGGAAACATGATATGTTTAATCGCGGTGATTATTCAGTGTGTTTTGGCCATTGTATTGAAACTTCATTTAGACCATATTAATAAGAAACGTGATTTAGACTTATTGTCTCGTCATAACGTTAGCTTAAATGATAGTGAGTTAAGGAATAGTAAAAAGATTAGAGAAATGGCTATGAAATTAGTAGAACATGAACCAAAGTGTGATGAAGTGCTATGTGATTATCATCCTAATTGGAGATATATAACGTAATTAATTATTCTTGAATTATTTATCATCCCACTTTAATCTTATAGCCATATTTATATTGTATTACTGTACTACACGTATATTATAATCATATACTTGTTCAAATAATGTATAATATTTTTGAATAAACCTTTAATTATTGGTTTCATTGTTGCTAGACAATTAATATTGTAGAATGAACATTTTACTAATACAGTAATCGTTAACTATTTTAAAAGGCATAATTAACTTGCGTACGTAGACTGTTATTAAAAACAAAGGTGAATATTCATTAAAGATTCTAAATAATCCTTAAATAGTGTTCATCAAGATGCATTACTCATCAGCCTTAAAATCTAGACCTAAATACATGATTGCCCTTTCTTAACCATCCATCATTAACTAAGTAAGTTGAGAATATTTAGGCATGATGACATCAAATCCAAATGTTTCTCATTGAATAAACAAATTGAGTGTAATTTGGATAGAAATTGGTGCAGCTTGATCGAATTTTTTTCTAATGTATTTACTTGGAAGCTTAACAATACACAAATTATAATATATAAAGGTTATCGGATATTTTTAGATGAAGTTATCGGATATTTTTTGATGAAGCATTATTCGGCTATTATATGCTCCATGATTTTTTTTATTGAATAGAAACGTTATGCCATGAATTATTAATACTATAGTTTCAGATTTACAGTATAATCAGGATTTCGAATCGTATTATTATTATTATTTTGACATTAAATCCTTGATCATTCTTTAGGATCTAAATATTTGCAATTCTATTTGTGCAGTTTTCATAATATCAAAATTTAAATTCCATATCATTATTACGCGAGATATTCGTTCAATAACTGTAACAGATGGTTAACTTAATAATATTACAGTTCTTATTCTGTTTTATATTGCAAAATCACCATGCACATGTTTCAGTAACAAGAATTACTTGCGATAAATCAACTACTAAATTTTGCTTATAAAACTAAGGTACATAGTTTGTTCATTCTGCCAATTAATCCTTTAAATTTTATATCAAGCATGTACATAAAATACATGTCAATTTTGATTAAAATAACAAATAATGTATTTGGAATCTCACTGATTTCCAATGATATGTTGATTGGGAATGGCAAATAATTTAAAACATGATTTTAAAAAAATGATTGACCGAAAGACACCCTGTTAAAAGTGTATTTACTGTGAAGGGGATTCAGATAATTTAATTAATCGATTAAAAAAGCACCTATTAAAATGTAATATGCATCCAAAAGATAGATAATAATTTTAATAAATTATTTTTTGGGGGTTTGCTGTTTATCGCCTGCGGAAATCATCGCTGTACTCACATGACTGTAGTTAACCAATAAAAAATTACCTTACAAAGTAAATAAACATTTTCAAAATTTATGGCACTCCATACCCGTATCCTCAAATAACACAAAAATAACTTTATGCAATTGCATAATTAAACAACAATCATGTAATTGTACGTTGTAAAAGGTGGATTCGAATTACAATGACTCTACAACCAAAACACAGTAAAGGCTTCTCAAAAAAAGCGTGAAAAAAATTTAGTCCAAGAACCAGAGATCCTTCTGCCACTGGGATCCCTAAGGTATGATTTTGTTGGTCTTATTTAATATAAATCCTTCTATTATAATTACATAAAAACGAAGGGGTTTTATACAATCATCATCAAAAAAGCTGGCATGCGAATAGTAGTGTCAAGCTATTTTGGTCCTAAAATTTTTAGTTAAAAATTAATGATAATATTTATAATATGCAATTTTTATCATTAAATTTGGTAAATGCATAAAATATTATTATGTTCACCTGGGTTTATTTTCTTAACATGATTTTTACGTTTGCGACGATCTTGTTTTTGTTGGTTCATTATTCGATAACCCGTTCTTGTAGTAAAGCTAATCTTCCTTAGTATCACTCTTACAGCCGTTTGTTCAGGCGTATAAATTCTTTTACGTTTTTACGCTTTAATACAATATGTGATTAATCAGTTGGCTTTAGTAAAGTCTTATTTATTATTTTTTTTAAAGATTTTAATGATTGAATTTCCGATTGACATTTGTTAATGATCAAATTTCTACAGGGATGCCAATAGGCCAATAATGTATGTGGGATCTTTGCTAAGAAAATGACCCTTCGAGACTATATTGATTTTGTGAATAAAATCAAATTTACCAACAATCTAGTCATCCAATACGAATGATCTTTTTCTTATTTTGTAGAGCTTATTTAGTTCCACAAAATAAAAAAAGTTCATTCAAATTGGGTAACTAGATGGTTGACAAAATTTTATTCACAAAATCAACATATCCTCGGAAGGTCATTTTCCTAGCAAAGATCCATATATCAACATTACAGGGGTAGGATCCGGGCATCGTCTCAAATTAGTAGAGTATAAAGGCCTTCCTCTCCGTTCCAGCCCAAAAATAACAAAAACACGAACTTGTAAATAGTCAAAAAAGTGGTGCGATAGTAAAGTAGTATGTAAAAGGGTGCTACTAGTAGAGCAAGAATAATAAAATAATTTATGCTATGTGGATATTAATGACAATAATAATTTTGTCCAGGATGATAAAATTTGGATCTGTTTCATGTACTTATGTACAATTTTTATCAGCCGCGACAATATTTAATTCATTTTTGCAAAGCCAAAATAATTTAAGTAGCAAAAATATATTTAAAAAATAAATGCGCTCGAACTTTTAACACTGATCAATGTATTATGTATTTAATAAAGATTCAATAAACCAACATTTCTTAAAAAGCTATTTTACTATATACTAGGTGAAATTTGCGAAATATTAATTATCAAATTTAGACATTTTGATATCATTAAGACACTCGACATTATTAAGAATTTCGGCATCACTTTAGAATTTCGGTATGCTAAATATCGAAAGTAAAATGCTCCTACAAGCTCGAAATAATTTCAGCTAACACTATATTACAATTCGATTCAGTTTTAGTAGAATTGAATTACTAACTGTGCCAGTTAATAAGTATTTTAGTTTTTATAATTTTATAAAAGCATTTACAGTAATTGTTATTTTAATAAATTTATGTCAATAAACTTAGTTAAATTTTTTATGAATCTGAAACACTTCATATTCGTTTACCAAAGAATATTCACTATTAATTGATTTTTCATATGCTTGAGTTACAAAGCGACATACATTACTTTGATTAGGAAACTGATTTTTATCACCATCATAAAACATGCGAAAATCAATACCACCAACATTTGCACCATAGGCAGAATGAAAATATAAAGCAAGCTGTGGGTTTTTCACTCGGCTTAAAATAGAATTTTGAACCGCGCAATTTTTCAATAAAAAAATAAAACTCTCTTGGCAATAAGCAAAACCGTAAACAGTACTATCCCATGCAATTGGATTATATCCGCCAACAATTTTTTCAATATTATCAGATCCCTTAACATTCGCAACAACAATAGTATTAGTCTTCATATTACACAAATTCCAAAATGATTCACGAGTAAAACCATCTTTGCTTCCACGAAGAAGTAATTTAAATTCGTATGGGTTATCTGTCGAGCTATATAAATTGGTCCTTTTATCAATCCATGATGCAATTTCTGCTGCGTGTTCTTCATTGATAACTGTTGAAAATGATTCTGTCGACCTGGCCGGCAATACTGGTTCCGAAATAATACGAGGTGGTAAAATAGTTGATGAAATTTGATGATTAGGTGACATGGATTTTTTAACCAAATCTTTCCAAATATTTTTATCAATAATTTGTGAATATGGTAGTATATAATTTGCCACATCATCACTAGAGATTTGAAAGTAACGGATAAAAGGTAAACTATTTTGTAATGTAGTCTTCAATGTCATAAAATTTTCGTATGTCCATTGTTCTGGGTCTGAAGGTAAAGTTGGATTTTGTGCAGTTCCCCATTCGATCAAGTAATTCCAAATTTTTATCTCTTCCAGTTGCAAATCATCACGTTTAATGAGTGAAATTAATGCGTTCTCTTTAAGAGTTGTGAAATCCTCTGAACTAAAAACAAGATTTGGATATTTTGCTACAATGTTATTACACCAATTTTGAAGTTCTTTAAGTTTTTCATTTTGGAAACATGCTTTATAAACATATGCAAAACGGGAACGTAACCAATGAGCACTTGACTCAATTAAATGTGTTTGAAGACAGTCCATTAATTCTTCTAAGAGAAATTCTTCAGCTACTTGAATAAGATCAAAAATAAACTGGGTGTCAAGATCCTCTAACGAGACAATTCCACCATAGATATATCTTCGTATTTTTAAATTATTAAAATTATTAAGCTGAAATATTGCAAATAATTTACATATAAAAAAATAAATTAGGTCTCATTACCTGATAATAATTTCAAATTGCTGGATAGAAATATGTGACTTTAAATTAAACCTTGTAACGCTAACTGTTTCCTTAGCAGTTTTTAACAATTCGTTACGAAAATACAGAGACCTGCATTTTAAAATCGCTGAATGAAGTTTAAATTCCTTTGTATTTGGAGATTTTCCCACTTTAATAATTACATTAAAATCTTCTTTGCTCTCTAATTATTTGAAAGTTTTTCTAAATTTTTAATTGCCATTTTTTATGCACTGTATACGTATCAGAAATAGCGATAGAGTAAAAATGATATCGTTATAGCTAGATCTATTTTATATAATTTTGCAAGTGATACAAAATCACATGTTACAATCAAAACATATTGATTTATCGCTGAACATCTATGTATTACCGTTCTGGCATTGTTCCCAAAAATCGATTACATATCAAATTTCTCTGATTATAATGAGAATATTAAAATAATGACCTGTGATCGATATATTGGATAATAGAGTAAGGATATTTATGCCGAAAACTTTTAATTATCCAAATTGGTTAATATGCGAGTTATTTCGATTCTTTTTTTTCCTTGAATTTGTATATTACATATTGATCTTACAATCTGACTAGGCAGTAAGTCATCAAATTTT